AAGGTTAAATTTGCTTTGATGCATTTTTTGGAGGTTTGGGAGCGGTTTTTTTCGGCGCGTTGTTTTGGATTGCGGGAGGCTCGCGTCATTTTGTGTAAAATATCAAAAGGAATCGAGTAGTGCGAGCTTTTTGCAGTCTGGAGTAGTGCGTCGGGGGGGGGGGGGGGGCTTCTTTCGAAATTTTCCGGGGGGCATCGAGGTGGATTGAGCCTTAAAGCAACTGGCAAGTAGCCTTTTCATGTATTGTGTGTTTATTTTGATTATTGCTTTAAAATATCTTTTTGGTATATGTGTGAAAGGATGAATCAGTGGGAAATGGATTTTCGGTTTCTTTACATTTAGCATCACTATGTGTCATTTCCTCAAAACCCCCCAATAACCGGCCTCTTCAATCCCTTCCTTTTCCCATGGCGTTCAAGTGGTCCGCATAGACTATTCAGCCATTACCCGTCCTTTATCCTCGGCTTTGGATTGACTTGCGCTCCCATTGCCCCACCAAACGCTGCAAAATGAAAATGAAAATGAGAAATCGGTGATTGACGTGTTTGTTTATAAAAAGAAATTACGTCCAAATCACAAAGTTCTCCGGAATTACGAGAATTGTCATGTACCACTCCGATTCACAATCTTTTAAATTTGTCGATCCTCTTAACGGAATCCCTTTATAAAGAGCTTAGAGTGTGTTGGTTTATTTCCTTTTAATTCCGTCATAATTACTTATCTTTTGGCAGATACGCGTCAAAAGATAAGCAATTATAACGGAATTAAAAGGAAATAAACCAACACACTCAAAGCTCTTCACTTCAATAATGTTGTGCATTTGGTTTCTGGGTGCATTATCAAAGAGCTTTGGGGGTGATGTGGCTGGCAGCAAAGCGAGCAAACGATAAATGAAAATTAACCAGGGTATTAACTTTCAAACAACAATGGTGGTCCTGAAAAGAACCGTTTTGTCGTGATGGTTGAGTAATGATGAGCTATTAGCAACAATCAATACGAAACTAACGATTTTAAATTGGCTCACTACTTGACTAGCCTATTGGTCCCAAGCAAACGATTAACGTTCCCGATTCTAGTCGAAATTCTAGTACTTCACAATGTTTGTTTTGATTCGCTATGAAAGTTTGACAGATAAAATGAGGGGTTATTGGTTTTTCCTATGTTTCGAGGGGTGAATCGATTAGCTTGGGACCGAAGAGAGTACCAGAGCTGAGCCAAAAAGTTGAGCACGTTATTTCGGGACCTTCTAGTCTTAGAGTTACCTCTATGCTATTAGGGTGTTCAACACGGATGAGGCAGGCGAGCTGTATGTTGTTTGGAACGAGGGTGACGCGCTTGGCATAGAGTGCCCACAGCGACTCACGAAGAGCTACTGAATACGATCAGTAGCGGTGCGGCTTCTTCCTCCTTCTTTGGTGAATGGACGCTCATGTGGCCTGCAGCTCGCTGCTTGCGGCCAGCCTTTCGTTGTGTACTGGAGAACAATGTTCGTTGGATGGAATTCGTTTTTGAAATCTTTGTTGCAAAAATTAATTGATTTAATCCAATGATCCTGTAGATTGCATTCTCAGCTTGAATCCTGTAAAACCATTGTAAAAATTATTTGTTGCTAGTAGCAACATATTTTTCATTTTGAAGAAATCTCAATAATTTTGCATTTAAAACTTAAGATTTACTTACCATTCGGCGCTACTTTTCTGTTCGTATTTGGTATCAATTTGACAAATGATCTCAAGTACATCATCGCTACGGCTATAGCACCGCGGTGGCCGGCATAAACTTGGAATTCACAATTTATTTACGTTGAATTTCTCTTTAAGGTAAGTAATTTTGTGTTCTTCTTCTTTTTTAAATATCATAAAATCATCATCATTAGTTTACACATACATTCATATATTATGAATACGAAAATTTAAAACATGTATTTCGTGGGTAAAACATGAAAATTTCCTGGGTAAAACACATTCACTGCATTTACTTACTTGTGTTCGTCGAAGTATAGCACAATTAAACGCAATCGAATACACGAAACTCAAAACAACTGCTTCACAAAACTCTTGGTGAACAAAATTCATCACAAAGAAAACCATTTCTACTTTACTGCTTTGCTAGCAATCGTGAAAGTATCATTGAAACAGCGGTGCCAGATGTATTGCCTCTAGCAATGAATTTAAGTTTATTTAAACAATTAATTGCGAAGTCTGCCTTATTAACATAGATGAGTGGATGTATTTAATGGTGGATAAATATCAAAAACTGATTAAATAAAACATAAATGACCATTTTAAACATTTTACCGGTCCAATTAAAAAAGTCACAGAAGATTGAATTCAACACTAACAGGGTTGATGACAGCAGTGCACGTAGCCTGTTATACACTTTCCCGCTCAGGGGTGTAAACAAACTTGCATACAGCGCAGTCTGGCAGTGCTTATGTTTTGTCTGCTACATTCTTATCCACTAGATAGTGTGACATCACATTTGCTGTTGTATTGAAATGAAGGAAGAAAAGAGATGGTTAAGTTTTCCTCACCATACCAGTTGATATTTATGAAAAATGGGCAGTTTTGGCGTGGGGACATGCACTTCCAATGAATCTTACCAATACATTTAGAAAATGATGATCGAAGAATATTTCAAAAAGAAGAAGTAAACAAAATAATGACCCTTTGTAGAACCTTAAGGCCCAAGCGCAATGACAGGGGAAGCGGAACGGCAGCGGCAGCGGAAAAACCCGATCTGAGTAAGCGTATTTGTCGGTTAGACATCTTGATGCAATTTGTGACAACTGTCAAACTTTTCGTTTCGTACACACCACGAAAAAGTCATGTAAATTTCGGTTCCGAGGGGCGCGCACTACCAGATATGAGTGCGTGATATTTAAAATACATCGTAGTAATTTAAATACTTTGAGGACAGTAATCATTTGATTTTAAATGCTTTTAGCGGTATTGAAAGTAATCAACATATAATTAACGTTAATTAATTTAATGGAAAATAATTTAAATGTTTTGAAAATAATTTAAGAATCAAATATTGTCAGTATTTAAAGTATTTATTGCAATTTAGAGTGTATTTAAAGTAATAAAAGCAGTAATGACAAGTTTTTAAATATCTGGTCAGTAGGCTGCGTAGTATTGAAAGACTAGTGCGTGCCCCTTGTTCGGTTCCCTGTGACCGACACATGCAAGCGAAACCTTGAAGGCTTTTGCGTTTATATTTTCTGGTAGTATTGTTTGTTGTTGTTAGCGTCCATCTTAATTCCATATTGATGAAATACAAACTAAATCCCTTAAAACCCCCCTAGAGGCATAAAGGGCGAACACGAAATTATTGCGACACATTCAACAGGGCATAACTTTTTTACCATTGGGTAAAAATCAACCAAATTTTGCACACTTTCTCATTGATGTGTATTGTGTACATGCTGTCAAACTCGAAGTCGTGTTTTTCGATTCAACGAAAATGGAGGTGAGCCAACGCGAGTTGAGAGAACAAATTCTTTCCAAACACCTGGAATTTCCTTACCTGTTGCACCGGCAGTTGGGAAAAATGTTGAACATTCACCATTCAACCGTCTCCAGAGTGTTGAAGCGGTTCCAGGAGCGGTTGACGTTGGACCACAGTAAAGGAGCTGGAAGAAAACCGGGACCGGAGAACAAAAAGACGGAGGGAAAGGTGAAGCGGATGATTAAAGCAAATCCCAACGTCTCAAGTCGTGATTTGGCTAAAAAGATCGGCATGTCGCAGAGCTACGTCCAGAATGCAAAGAAGAGAGCTGGATTACATACATACAAGGTACAGAACTTCCCAAACCGCGATGAGCGGCAACAATCGACGGCTAAAACTCGGGCACGGAAGCTCTACGAGAAGATGCTGACAAAATATGGCTGCTGTGTGATGGACGACGAAACGTATATAAAAGCCGATTTTAAGCAAATTCCGGGGTTGGAGTTTTTCACCGGCAAGAGCAAGTTCGATGTGGACGACAAATTTAAGAAGAAGAAAATGTCGAAGTTCGCCTCCAAATATCTCATTTGGCAGGCCATCTGCTCTTGCGGACTGAGGAGTGAGTCTTTCGTGACAAAGGGCACAGTAAATGGCGAGATCTACAAATCTGAGTTCGTCGAGAAGCGCCTTTTGCCGTTCTTGCAGCAGCACGACAAAGCTACGCTATTTTGGCCAGATTTGGCATCATGCCACTATTCTAAAAGTGTCCTGGAGTGGTATGAGGCCAATTCTGTCCATTTTGTTCCAAAGCACATGAATCCGCCAAACTGTCCGGAGCTGCGCCCGGTGGAGCAGTACTGGGCAATAATGAAGCGGGAACTTCGGAAGAGCAAGAAGACAGTCAAAGACGAGAAGGACATGTTAATAAAATGGAAAAAAAACTGAGAAACTGGTACCGGATGACACTGTAAAGACTTTGATGGAGGGCATCAAGCGAAAATGCGTTCAATTTTACACTCAAGGCTCCATCGATTAACTTTTCTTTTGATTTTTGAAGTAAATATATGTATAAAACTACCCTAAAATTTTGGTTTGATTCTAAACATTATAAGAAAATTGGCATGACATTTTCGGTGTCGCAATAATTTCGTGTTCGCCCTTTAGTTCCATGAATGGGTCAAATTATGTCCCGTTCAATTTGTAAAGAAATCCATCTTGAAACATGCATATTTCCAGCGTTCAGACTCAAAAGGGCCTATCTGCGATGGTCGATTCTCATCATCGGTTTTCTCTTCGCATTACGGAAGTTGATTGAATCAATTTTCCGAAATTAAGGTAACTACTTGATTGAGAATCCATAACAGTCCATTCAAATCCCATCTGTCAAAACAATAGAAATTTGTATCTAGATAAAAATAATTTTCACGGAATAGATTAGTCACGAAAATCGATCGTCGCAGTTAGGCCCTTATGATTCTATGTTTAATTAAGAAAAAAAAACGACACATGACTAATTCCTCCAAATCTTTCCCATCCTCAACTCATTTCAGTGGCCAAACCGACGGCGGAGAACATTAAAATATATTCGGTGAAGCTGTCCGACAGCCACAAGCGGCTGAAGATCTACAACGCCTCGCTGGATCAGCTGTGGCAGCAGGGCTACCAGATTCGCATCAACAACCTCTGCGACAAAGCCAGGAAGGCGCACAACGTGAAGGACATCTTGGCACAGGTTCGTTGTCCACCCTATCCCACCACCAGTCGATTTCTCTCACCTAAGTGGCGATTTTCATTCTGACAGATCAAATACGCCACGAAGACCAAGATGGCCTTCCACAACAGTCAGCACTTTGCCGAATTCTGCCGGTACGGTGACCGACCACAGGACAACCGGAAGCGACAAGTAAGTGTACTGTTGAAACGGCTCGAAGAGGCACTGAATGGATCGCAGACGTACTTTTGAGAACCGCATCAAACAAACAGACATGAATTGAGGTTTTTATCACATTTCTTTTTTGATCTCTATCTTCTCTGTGACATTTAAACCCGGGTGGCGGTTTTCATCGTAGGCTCTTCCTCGACTAACTTCTATATATGAAACCTTCTTTTTTAACTCGTCCGGATTGAAAATCGATAGGATTTGTCCCGAATCTGTGGCTAACATCTTTTCCCAGCGTGGATTGTGGCGATGTTTGAAAATAGAACCCAGCTTCAAAAATAGGAAAAATTCCGACAAACTAAATTTACCACCTAGGGCTTGTAATCAGTTTCCAATCAAACGATATCAAATTTATGGCAGTCAGTTTGGAAATGTACTATTGTTGCAAATATTAACTTTTTTTTTTTGCTGAGCAACCTCTCACCACGGCCTCAGATAAGATAAGCTTGCCAGTGCTCGTTCGAATTGAGAACCCTCGTTCGGAGGAGGATTAGTCCAACGACGCAATTGAAGTAGCATCCTTTTCTGGTCCGCCCACCACCGTCAAACCACCGCCATCGATGCATATGGAGGCAGTGCATACAATTGTGGGTAACGATGTACGTGCGAGACTCGTTGTTATCAATTACACGCGAAGGGAACTCTGTAGTAATCACCGTTCACACCTGACATAAGGTAATAAATCAGAGTACCGCGCTGTTGACTTACTGCGCGACAGCGGATCGCTCAGTCATCAGAAGTGCAACGGTCGAAATATGGAGACACGTGCAGACGACAGATCAAAAACCCGCACATTCCAGAATCAGGACTTGTTTTTCGCTACTGGAATTTTTTGCCGCAGTTCGGAAAATTCCTGCAATTCATATCTATAATAACGAACTTCCTATCACCGAGACAAGGTGATAGACCGTGACATCTGATTCAAAATATAGCCCCAATGGAGCTACCGATAATAGCTGATGTCGCACCCTTGCAAACACGTAATACCTGTGAGCGATGATTGTTTTCTTCGCATTCATGATAGTAGAGCATGTAATTCAGATTGCTCACGAGACTTGAACCAACGAACTAGCAGCAGCCGGCACAGCTGGATGCCATCAACAACATTTAGCTTTATAGATTTGTTTTCGCACAGAAGATCATACGCAGAAGTAGTTCACCGATAGCGGCTCTATCTCTTCTACGTACCTTTAGACTTGTACCTACATACCTATACGTGGATGCTTTGAATTGCGTAGTACTCCAGTTTACATACCGACCGCTGATTACCGGTCAGAAGCGGTTTGGAAAAGCGGGGGAATGTATTCGGCGTGTGTTTTGATTCTTAATTCGTTTTAATCAGGCAGCCAACAACTGTTTAATCTCGACAGTGCGTTACGCTTGTTTTTCGTATCCGAAAGCAGTGTGGCACGCCATTTCCCAGCAGGCAGATATGTAAATAGACCTTGAGGGAGATGTAATAATTTCGGCTTAATTGCCTCTTCCTGAGAGCCCTTCCTCGGATGGCGGCCCTTGGCATTGGGGGATGGTTTATGTTTTTCGGAAGGGTTGTAAAATTAGATACAATTTATTGCCTTTCGCTCATAAAACTATCATTCGGCAAGGATACGCACTTCACTTTTCTAAAGATGCCATGGGAATAATATACAAATCTACGCATTGAATTCGGGGTTTTCAATTTTTTTTATAATTTGTTTATTTTTTTCCAGGCTCATTTGCCGTAGCTTTGCGGAGCCGATATTTATCGTTTACAGTAGAAAATTACTTAAAACTAACGTTAGTAAAGCGGGGGCCAATTACTCGCGGCTATCTCGAGGATAGGGGCAAAAAATTGTAACAAACGGATGGCAGGGTAGGGATTGAGAACACAAGGTTTTGTCGAGCAATGTACTCTTGATCTCGAACTATGCGACATACTGGAGGAAAAGACAAACATTGGAGTACACCGATGGAAAGCTAACAACTTGGGAGAGCACAAGATGACACTAACTACTAAATCCTCAAATCGATCCATTTCAGAAACACATACATTAAATTCATGTATTCGAAATCTCGGCTAGCCAAGACATCTCTCATTGTTTTCCTCTGGCCCTAAGGGATGTGGATAACTCAGATCTGGCAACACGGTGTAGAGTACATGACCAAACAACATGCTCGATAGCATGATAACCACTGCCACACGCACATAAATTGCTACCTGAGAGCCCAATTCGATAGAAGTGCGAACAGTGATTGGACATAAGCCTTGACATAAGGTGTATAAAGTCGCGGCTCATGTCCAACCCTTTGAACCATGGTTTGTTCGACACCTGTGGGGGTTTTCAATTCCGAATAGAAAAAAAAATCTTCAGTTAGGATCCACTTGTAATTTAAGTGGGTCACTTTCGTTGCATTATACTACCCATAATCGCATATCAGTCCCATCTTTGCTTGATTTCCTATCCATATGGGACTGATATGCAATTATGGGCAGTATAGCTGCATTTGCGATAGCAATACAGCTGTTATCTATATCGCGATAATGAGAAATCATAGCACCGATAAGCAATTTCTCAGAATCGACTTAACAAAAGCTTTCTTTCTGGAAACGAGCCATTGACGTATGGGAATTTGTTGTTCAGTTCGTCTAGCTCCAACTGGATAGCCTTGGGTGGAATCGTGTGATAACAGTTCCGGAGAAATTGGAGATTAGGGTGTAATTTTTTTTAATCCTAATTTTAGATATTTTTAGCCGTCCATTGCTTTTGTAAACAATAACGTAATTTACCGATTTCTCGCAAATTAAAAACTTAATCTAATAAACTAACAACACAAACTGATAGAGGAATGATTCATTTATCATTTGGTATAGTTTGTTCTGGAAATTGACCTTTGATTCGCGAGAAATCGGTGATTGACGTGTTTGTTTACAAAAGAAAGTACTTCCGAATGTGGAAGTTCGTATTGAATTCTATACCTTTTTCGTCGATTTTTCCTTTTAGCTCTACTACTTTTGTATCACTTTCACTTTCACTAATTCACTTCGGCTGTCATAGACTACTGAAGAAGTTTGCAAGTAGCAAACGAAATACGTATCTGTTATAGTTCAAAGTGATAGTGAAAGTAAAGAATGAAAGTGAAAGTGATACAAAAGTAGTAGAATTAATAGGAAAAACCGACGAAAAAGGAATACAATTATTCTACACGCTCATCAATCAATTTAGATTGGATTCTATTTAATGTGTACAAATTTGAGCTAAAATCAAGGGGTAAGTCACTCAGCACAGTGTGCCGAAAGTAGGTTTGGCACAGCTTGGGCACAATCTCATAGGCATTGGATTCTTCATGCAATTAAATGGGAGCACTGCTGAACAGCTGTCTTTGAAGTTGTGCACAATAATACGTGCTGTTTGACTGTATATTTCAGGAACATCCTCTAATATGGTTTTGCACAGCCGGGGATAACCTAAATCAGACGACAGTTTAGTGGTACTGTGTACGTGGACTTATTCGATTTTTTCTTGGATAGATTTTCTCGATAATAATTGTTCTGCCTTTGAGGGCATTACAAAACCCTAAAGCTGGGTTTAGACAGGGCAAGTCAATTTATCAAGTCAGATGAATTCAAGTGACTTGAATGCGAATTAATCCTGTAAACCATGACATTCAACTGACTTGATCAACTCACATGAATTGAAAAAAGTTGAACCAGGCTCAACTTTTCAAGCCAATTGAATTCAACTGAGTTGATCATTTGACTTGCCTAGTCTAAACCAATCCCCTGCAATGCGATCCAGTTCTTGAAACTGCCGAAAACATTAGCAGCGCTGGCGATCCATAACATATTTAAGCTCCATTCATGTAACATTAAATGCGTCAAGGTGTCAAAAAATGTAATGCCTACATAACCAATTAATAAATGATTTAGTTGTTTTCGAATTGCCGAGCACAATTTGCGTGAATCATGCTTTCCTGTAACGTTATCTAGAAAACTCTTTCTATTTTCCGTAACTTGGCGCGACACGTAGTTAGCTTAATCATAGAGCTTTTTGACGTTTAATCGACGCACACTACTGCACCATTTAAATCAAACGAGTGCGAGCAAGAAGGAAACAGATTAGTGGGAAAACAAACCGTGCATTCATCCATGTGTGCTAGATAGAGAAAGACGATTAAACGTCAAAAAGGTATATAGAGGAAAAGGAGGAGCTGTCAAATTAGCACCAGAGCACCAGAGAAATTTGGCTTCACTCGAGTTGTTCGCAGATAACAGGCGTTGCAGTCCTGTGTTCTAAACCCAGCTTAATGCATACGAATTTTATTAACTTATGAACGGTGATTGCAGGGCTCATGTACGATATCAATAACAGCCCGGTGCCGAACAATCCTGCCGAACGATGACTGTTGAGGCTGATGGAGTCAGTAGATCCCGTATTACCGGTTCACAGTCTTTCTACGCTTATTCGCTACTGGGTGTTCGTTTCACTGACGGCAACAGCACTAATAAGAAAGATGCTTCTAACAGAATTGTAAAAGTAGCCACACAGGTAACGGAGACAATCTGATTCACTCCCTTTTCATGAAAATTGTACTGAAGCAAATATAAAAGTTGGGTTATTTAACAAATTAAGCATCCTTTTTTGAATGTTTAATCATAGCGGCGCCTATGGTGTAGTGGTAAGCGTAATGATCTCTCATCCCAGCAGGCCTGAGTTCAATCCCAGTCGGCGCCGCCGGGATGTTCTGAGGCATAACGCCTTCCTTCGGAAGGGAAGTAAAGCCGTTGGTCCCCGGTTCATGAGTTGATGGGTCGATAGGTAGGTTCCAGGTGTGGAACTTCTACTTTAAATTTAATAAAAAATCTGTATAATCTGTGAATACAGTTAAAAAATCTCCGGAAAATCTGTAGAAATACAGATTATTCTGTAGTTTTGGCAACCCTGGTCATAAGTCACACACTGTACCAAACCACCGTCCTCTGTTCGAATGAAACCTCAGACCATTCAAATCGAAACATCGAAATCGCCTTTTCGAATGATAGCTGAAACCGGATGACGGTTGTTTTGAAATCAGATGA